ACTACTTCCCCTCTGCTTCCCCATCAAAAAAAAATCACCAATAATAATGATAATAATAAAATAAAATCCATATATATATATATATATATATATATATATATATATATATAAAATCAAAACAGACATATAGATCAATGGAATCAAATTGAAAACCCTGACATTAACCCACACTCTTATGGACACCTGATTTTTGATAAAGAAGCCAAAAACATACAATGGAAAACAAGAAAGCATCTTCAACAAATGGTGCTGGTCTAACTGGATATTGGCATGTAGCAGAATGCAAATAGATCCATATCTATCACCCTGCACAAAACTCAAGTTCAAGTGGATCAAAGACCTCAACATAAATCCAGATACACTAAACCTGACAGAAGAAAAAAGTGGGAAATAATCTCAAGCTCATTGGCACAGGAGACAACATCCTAAACAGAACACTAATAGCACAGGCACTAAGATTGACAATCAATAAATGGGACCTCATGAAACTGAAACGCTTCTGTAAGGCAAAGAACACCATAAATAGGACAAAACAGAAGCCGACAGAATGAGAACAAGTCTTCACCAACTCCACATCTGAAAGAGGGAGCTGATCTCCAAAATCTATAAAGAACTCAAGAAATTAGATATCAATAAACCAAATAATCCAATTAAAAATAGGATACAGATCTAAACAGAAAATTCTCAACGGAAGAATCTCAGATGGCCAAGAAACACTTAAGGAGATGTTCAACATCCTTAGCCAATCAGGAAAACGCAAAACATCCTACACCTGTCAGAATGGCTAAGATAAAAAACACAAGCAACAGCTCATGCTGGAAAGGATGTGGAGCAAGGGGAACACTCCTCCATTGCTGGTGGGAGTGCAAACTTGTACAGCCACCTTGGAAGTCAGTGTGGTGGTTTCTCAGAAAACTGGGAATCAATCTACCACAAGGCACAGCTATACTGAGCTGTACCACTCTTGAGCATATACCCAAAGAATGCTCAATCATACCACAAGGACACTTGCTCAACTATGTTTATAGCAACTTTGTTTTTTTGTTTGTTTGGTTGTTTTTGTTTTTCGAGACAGGGTTTCTCTGTGTAGCTTTGGAGCCTTTCCTGGAACTCACTCTGTAGCCCAGGCTGGCCTCGAACTCACAGAGATCCACCTGCCTCTGCCTCCCGAGTGCCGGGATTAAAGGCATGCGCCACCACCGCCTGGCCTGGCAGCTTTGTTTGTAATAACCAAACCTGAAAAAAAAATCTAGATGCCCCTCAACTGAGGAATGGATAAAGAAAATGTGGAACATTTATACAACGGAGTGTTACTCAGCTGTTAAAAACAAGGACACCAGGAAATTTGAAGGCAAATGGATGGAACTAGAAAAATCATCTTGAGTGAGGTAACACAGACCAAGAAAGACAAACATGGTATGTACTGTAAAATAAATAAAGGATAACTATGCTGCAATCCACAGACCCAGAGAAACTAGGTAACAAGGAGGGTTCATAGAGGGACACACAGATCTCCCTGGGAAGGGGAAATAGAAGAGATTTCTTGAGTTGACTCAGGGCAAGTGGGGATGGGAACAGGAACAAATCAGGTTGCAGGGAGGGGGGGGGTACTAAAAGTGACTACCGGAAAGGTGGGGGGTACTGCCATGTCAAGTGAAAACCTGGTGTAAGAGAATCTCCCAGGAATCTACAAGGACGACCCCAGCTAAGACTCCTAGCAATAGAAGCTATGTAGCCTGAACTGGCCATCTCCTGTGGCCAGATGGGTGCCTAACCCAATTGTCATCGGAGAGGCTTCATCCACCAACTGATGGAAACAGGTGCAGACCCACACCCACACATTAGGCAGAGTTCGGGAAATCCCGCAGAAGAGGGGGAGAAAGGATTGTAGGAGCCAGAGGAGTCAAGGACACCACAAGAAAACCCACAGAATCAACTAACCTGGGCTCATAGGTGCTCACGGAGACTGAACCAACAACCAGGTCGCCTGCATGGAACTGACCTAGGCACTCCACATATGTGTGACAGTCGTGTAGCTTGGTCTACACATGATTCTTAAACACAGGGAAAATATGCTCAATGCCCACCATTAGAAATGTATAAACTATACATACAAGATTTTTATGAAAATATCAGAAATGGTAAGAATCCAAAAATTTGAAAATTACCCTTTTGATCTTATGTGGAATTGAGGTAGCCTCTCATACATGTCTACAAGGGCCTTATTGGGCATCTCCTGCAGAGTAGTGAGACTGTGATGTCTGTCCGACTGGAGATGCATTTGCCCTTTGATTTAGCAGTTACCCTGTGCAAAAACAAAACCCTGGACCTTGTGGAGAACAGCAGAGCGATCTACTCCAGCACTGTTTAAACACAGAAGATTGAAAACAGTGTACATGTCCACCTGCAGGGAACAGCTTGGGTGCATGCATGCTGGACAGTGAATGAAAAGAAAACACGAAGTGAAGAGATCCTTCATCTGCTGTGTGAAAAGATGTCCCACATCACAGTTAACTGGGAACAACAAAATGGAGCACTGGGTTGTATAAGACCCACTAAGTAAGGAAGCTGGGGAGTCTGAGAAGAATATCTAATACATGTTATAAAAAAAAAAATCCCTCAGCTGGGCAGTGATGGTGCACGCCTTTAATCCCAGCACTCGGGAGGCAGAGGCAGGTGGATCTCTGTGAGTTCCAGGCCAGCCTGGGCTACAGAGCGAGATCCAGGATGGGCACCAAAACTACGCAGAGAAACCTTGTCTCAAAAAAACAAAACAAAACAAAACAAAACAAAAATCCCTCAATACATCAACCTCTCCAGGGTGAAGGTAGGGACAGAACAGGTGTGAAAGAAAGCTTTTTCCTTGTGATCCACAGCTTTGGACTTGAACCCTACCATCCACTTATTCAAAATTAGGTAAGTCAACCTTCAGCCCTGGGAAGCAAACACAGAGCAATGTCTGCTCACAATGCCTCCCTCATCCCCAGAGCATCCTGGCTTCCTCTGTGCTACAGAATGAGCATGCATGACCTTGGTTACAGGGCCTCAGGTGGGCATAGCAGAGTCCCTACAGGCCACAGGACTTGCTCAGGCCTGTCTGCTAAAGCCAAAGATTATCTTAGAACCTGAAGTGCAGGGATAGGAGGGAACCTCTGATTCCTAAGATAAAGAGGCAACCTGCGGGGGGACCTCTCCCATTGCTTGTGCCCTAGAAAGGCTAAGAAGCAGCCCAGGACTGGCCAGTCTGGGTGGCCAAGCTTTATAGGAATTTCCAATTGTCTTCTAGTTTCCCTATCCCTGAGCTCCCTCACTGCCTGGCAGACTTGAAAGAAAAAGTTTAGGATCACCTGACCAAGGAAGGCATTGCAAAGGAAACTGGCTTTTGAAGTATGTGGTGGCTGTCCTCAGGCCCTAGGCGCCTTAACTGGTCTAGGACAGAACGAGGTCTGGATACTGGAGTCTGGTTTTGTTTTTGTTTTATTTTAACTTCCCGGGGAAGGCATGCCATAATGCAACCAGCAGACTTGTTTACATCTCCAGTAGGCCTTTTAATGACCCTGTGGCTAGAGGGCCATACACAGCAGCTCAAGCTATGAGCAGGCAACGGACAACACTGGCTCAGGGCACGCCGGGACTCTCTGGGCCTCGGCGGAGAAGGACTTATTTAGTCACAATGTGCTGTCCACTCCCTCGACTTGAGCCACTGCCTGTCCGCAAATAACCACTGAGCATCTCGTATGATTCCAGCACAACCTGGAGCATTCCAGAGCTTCACAAGCTCCAGGATTCCCTCTGCTTTCAAGTCTCCTCCACAAAGAGAGGGCAGTGATGAAATGATCGCATACTGGTCCCTAATTGCTTCTGGTCTCCTTGGATCCACTGCTTCATAGCTCCTCTTGGTCTCAGAGTCTCCGGCACAGCGCTTCTCAACCTTCCTAACGCTGAGACCATTTAATACAGTTCCACATGCTGTGGTGACCCCCAACCATAAAATTATTTTCATTGCTGCTTCATAACTGCAATTATGAATTGAACAATTCGTAACTGCTATGAATTGTAATGTAAATATCTGATATATAGGATATCTAATCGACAAGCTTTAAGCCTCTAACGTGCAACCCCCAAAAGGGCTATTGAGGGGGGTCGTGACCCATAGGTTGAGAAGCCATGTTCCAGCAACCCCCCCCCCCTTGGAAACCATCACAAGCCTTTGACAAATACCTGCTCGTGTCATGAGATTTGTTAGGGTCAGAACGAAGGCACTGGTAGCTCTGACAAGCTAGCTCAGCCACACGCCCAACTTCAACAGGCCAGTTAAGGACACAGTGAATGGGAACGAAACCCATCAACAACAACAAGTTAGAAGGGAAAGAAAGGGGAATAGCGGCGACGCAGTGTGGCCAGACGGGAAGAGGAACACACAAAGAAGCCCAGCGACCGCCCTCAACCGTTAGGAGAACTTGCTGCTCTTGCAGAGGACCCCATTCAGTTCCAGATGATCCGATGCCTTCTTCCGGCCTCAGAGGACACCCAGCACGCATGCACACACAAACAAGCAGGCAACACACACATGTGGAAGTAAATAAATCTTTAAGGTAGAAGTGGAGAAGCATCCGTAACAAAGAAGTCCTGGCCAAAGTGTGGGCCTCCCCACCCAACCTGTCATTCTCAGGATCTTCTGCAGAGTGGTGACAAGTTGCCACAGTTGTGAGGACTCCCTTCTAGAAACAAGCTCCTCCTTTGGCTGGCCGACACCAGGACTCAACATTTCCCTTCTCCTACCTTGAGATTCCAAGGAATCTCTTGGGTCCTTTGTCTCAATACTCAGACCATCAAAGCAAAGGTCAAAGTGTCTTTTTCGTAGATGCTCATCCTTGGCGGGACCATTACGCTTGGTTTCCCCAGGAACGACACTCACCTTGTTCCTCCAACAAGAAGGAGGCCCCCCCACCCACCCACCTCAGACCCATTCGTCAGCATACATTCCACACCTGAACTCTTCCTCCCCTCAAAATCCATGGGGCGCAGCACCTTGCCTCCTCATTGAGTGTGGTGGTTAGTTTTCAACTTGCCACAACCTAGAACCATCTGAGAGCCTCTGGTGAGAAATTTTCTAAATATGGTTGGCCTATGAGCATGTCTCTGAGGGACTGTGTGGATTACTGATTGATGTAGGAAGAGCTAGCCCACTGTGGGTGGCACCATTCCCTAGGCAGGGGATCCTGAGCAATATAAGACAGGGGAAAGCCAGGTAAAGCAAGGGTCCATCCATTTGTCCTCTCTCTACTCTGGACTGTGCATGTGATATTTTAAGTTTCTGCTTCAACTTCTCCTCTAATAATGGACGGTGGCCTGGGAGTGTCAGCCAAATAACTCCTTCCTCCTCTAAGCCACTTTTGGTCAGGAAGTTTTTTCACAGCGACAGAATGAAACCAGAACACTGGGTCTCTGCTCAAAGAACACCTTCCCCACAAGGCCTTCCTCCTCACACTATTAAAAACTGTCCCCACTCTCCCATGTCCCACCTCCCCCTTCCTTCTTTTTTCTTTTTTTTCTGCCTCACTTGCCTGCCTTAAACACACCACAGTTTTCCTACTGCGTGATATCACCCACCTCCCCAATGCCCGACACAGGGGAGCCTAACAGATATGTGCTGGATGCATAAAAACAAGCGCTGATTGGTTAACTTTGTTGTTGTCGTTTCTTTAACTCAACTGAAATGGCACCCATTACGCGTTGTTTGCGTTGAGTAAAATTCACCCCCCACATACTTCTCTGCACTGCCATAGAAGGAGCTTCATTTGATTTTAGTCTCGCAGATGACCTTGGTTGGTATATGAGACAGGAGTGAAAAGAATTCTGACCCCACAGAGGTGAAAACCAAGAGTCCGAGAGGTGAGGTCCCAGCACGTTCACTGGGTCACCGTCGGAACTGGGTTGGGCTTCGTTTACTGATATAAGGATAACTAAGGAAGGCTGGCAAGAACCAATGTAAAAGATTTATTTCATCACAGTTCTACAGGACATGAGAAAAGCCGCTTCAGGGACTTAAGTAACTTTGGCTTATCGTTCAGGGGGCAGAGTCCATCGCAGCAAGGAAAACACGGCAGCAGGCAGGCTGAGCAGGAAGCCAGCTGATCACAGGGCCTCCTCTCCAGGAAGAAAAGAGAGAACAAGGGGTGGGACTGAGTTATAAAATCTCAAGGCTGCCCCTGCTCACTCCCTGCTCCAGCAAGGATGCACATCCCAAAGGTTCCGTGACTTTCCCCGCACAGCACCATCAGCTGGGATCACGTGATCAAACACGAACCTACGGGGACATTTCTCACTCAAACTACAACATAAATGAAGAGCTGATTCACAAAAAAACTGTATTTGTAAGCTTAATCTTGTCATCGTAGGATAAAACCAACCTAATTAAGAGCAAAGCAAACGTTTATCTGCTGGGCAGAAGGGGTAAACAATGTTCCCAAGCTCAAATGGGATCAAGAGTAGGCAGGGTTGCTGCCCAGTTCAAAAGTTCTGCTGTGGACCTGTCTGAGACCTTATTAACAATGCCTGCCAACTCCATTTTTATTTTTATTTTTTGATCTTCTCAATAAAGAGCGGACGTCCATGTAGAAATGCCACTGTGCACGGACAGAAAACCTATTGAGGATGAACCCTGAGCACAAGTCCTGTCCTGACCCTTCCTTCCTGCCTGTCTAGGAATCATGTGAACCCCTCCGGGAGGAGATTTTAGGACCCACTCTCAGACTCCGTAGGTCGGAGATTTATGGCTAGATTTTACCAGAACAGATGGAAGGACGATTGGATTCCTATTTCTAGGTTTTATGACTGCCTTTGGGGAGGGGGAACTGGGGTTCTAGTTTCTCTGTTGCCATGGAGAGGAGAGGGGATGCACAGGAGGTTTGGAGGGCTGAGGCCTCCTGTGCGTTTGACATCACCGCCCTGCGCCTGCTGAAGCACCTGTTTTTGTCCTAGGTTCGGAACCTGGGTCCCCACCTCGGGGCTTTGGGGTTGCTTGTGAGTATTTATCTCCTTCTCCTCTGCGCATCTGTTCTTCCTGAGACATTTTTACTTTGCTCCAAGAAACAACGCCTGTATTTTCCTCCTTGTTTTTCTCCCCCACATCTTATACAGATAGCTGTCATCCTCTGCCCTTCCACCCCCTTCCAGAAAGAAACCCTTGCTCTTCCCTCTGGGCAGCAGCGCCTGGAACAAGGGTTCCTGCTTTCCGGGTGGTCTCCAGGTATGAAGGGCAGAACCAGGTCCTGGACTCTTAAAATAATGGCCATGGTTGACATAATTCACATGTGCCCTAGAGGTCTGGTACCTCCCCTTCTTCCCAGGGCAGGCTCCCAGTCTCCTGGGCCCCACACACCCCTGTCCCCATCCTCGCTCTGCTCAGGACAAACCGGCATGTCCCTTCTCACTGGCTCTGGAATTTTCCGCGCCTGTCTGAATTACAACACTGTCTCACTGGGTCAGTGGCTTGCATTGTTATCTCACATCTTCATCAATTCGATCCTTCTTTCTAGACACCACCGTTGTCCCAGGGTGGGAGGATCAAAGAAGACGCCCGGTCCTTTATCCCCACTATATACACCAAAGTGCCCAGTCCCATCCAGGAGTTTGAGGGGGTGTGTGGGGTGGGGGCTGGCAATCTCAAGCAGGATTTATAGCTTAAGTGGGCAAGGTGAGAATCAGAGTGTGTAACACACACAAGGGGAAAGCCACCAGCATCCCTCCCACCCACCCCACAGTGACGCACACCTCGGGTTTCTCATGGATTTTTGCGCACAAAGCTGCTGTCGCAGACATGGAAGAGCGCAGCAGTTTGGGTTGTAAATCAACAATCAGGCCAGGCTGGGCGGGCGGGTGCCCGGCGATGCAGCGCTCCGCTCCCCTAGGGGCTGCGGCAGCAGGCGCTTGGAATTTTCCACCGGTGGGCAGACCCGCAGAGCCGCATCCCATTGGCGGAGCTCGGTGGCGTCGCTGCGTGGGTGCAGAGGTGAGCTCAGCCAGCCACGCACAGTGGACTCCGGAGAGGTTCTGCTTGGGCCGGGTGGGCGGGGTCCGAGGGGAGGCGGGAGCGAGGTTGCTGGTCCCCAGCCACCGCCTCTGTCGCCAGACCCGGGGATGGGGAGGAGGGAGGGGGGCTCCCCTCTGCTCAATCCCCGTCCCCCCTCCTCTGGCCTGACCCCAGACCCGTGTTCCCTCTTCTTGGCCTTATTTAATCCATTAAACACGTTGCCATCAGTAGATCCCATTTGGCGGATCAGGTCAGTACCAGTGTTGGAAATGGGAACCCATTCCTGGTCCATGGAGAAAAGCGGTGAAGGGCGGTGGGGACAGGAAGTGGTCTCTTTGCTTCTGTCAAACGAGAGAAATCCCTGCACCGACTGTAAGACAGGAGACGTCTGCTCTGTCCAATCAGCGCGCTCACACCGGCCTAATTAAAGGAATTTGTGTGGGAGCCTGGTCTGCTACAGCTTTAAAACAGCTTGTTTTGTTTCTCCTGAGTTGTTAAACCCACCCTAGTGGCTACCTTTGGCTAACTGGAAATGGTTGCTGGGTGAATGAATGAACGAACTCTGTGACAGCTAGGTAAGCCCTGGCTCCTGAGTGGGGGCGACTCGTGTGTTACGTGACCTTGGACGCCTCGAGGTTTCTTTTGAGCCCTTTGCTTTAAAAACAAGGCTAATAATAGGTTGCTCGAAAAGTTAAATGTAGAATTATTCTCTGACCCGTCTCATCCTTTGGGGCCAGAACTTGCCAGGGCTGTCTAGAGCAGACCGACAGAGTTCACAACCCAAGCGTCCACCGCTGGATAAACAAAGTGGGTTCCTATATACTGGGTATTATTCAGCCCTGGAAAGGAAGGGCATGCTGGCATGTCACACCATGCTGACCCTGGAAAACGTGTCAGGTGGGAAAGGCAGATGTAGATATAGGCCACACAGTGACGTGTGCATGCTGAGTCAGTCCATAAAGACTAGCACAGCCGAGGTTGCCGAAGCTGAGGTAGGGGGTGTGTACAACCACCTGGTGTCTACAGCATCCATGAGAAAGCTGATGGCTTCCCAGCATTATAGACTGCTGCTACTGTAAAGTGCTTGATTTTATGTCAGGTGGATTTCCTTTTTTTGCTTGCTTGTTTGTTTGTTTGTTTGTTTTTTTGCTTGCTTGTTTGTTTGTTTGATTTTTGGTTTTTTTTCGAGGCGGGGTTTCTGTGTAGTTTTGGTGCCTGTCCTGGATCTCGCTCCATAGACCAGGCTGGCCTCGAACTCACAGAGATCCGCCTGGCTCTGCCTCCCGAGTGCTGGGATTAAAGGTGTGCTCCACTATTGGCCTGATTTCCTCTTAATAAAACAAATTTTGTTTTATATTTAAAATTTTGTAGTGGATAGCTGTTCTGTGACCTTGAAGCACTGCCCCTAGAGATGTCCTACCTGTGACCTTGAAGTATCTGCCCCTGGGGTATGACTCAGGACTACCCTTAAGACTACTCTACTCTTTCCCTGGTGGACTTGGATGCTGAGACAGGCTGAAGAACAGTGTGGGCTGTAACTCCGCCCTCTAGGGCCCTGTGATAAATCTCCTGTGCTGTAGTGAATTTTCCTCCCTAATAAATTCCTTCACTCTTTAAGCAGATTCCGTGGATTTCTCGTAATAAAATTTTTGTGTGGTGTATGTGGAGGCTGGAGACAGACACCAGGACTCCTCACTTGCCTTGTTACTCTTCCACTTTATGCGTGGAGGCAGGGTCTCTCAACCAAACCCAGTGCTCCCCACATGCTAGTCTTGCTAGCCAGCTGACCCTGGGGCTCCCCCACCTCCACCTGCCCGGGCTGGAATTCCAGGTGGACCACCATGAACACCCGGAATTAGTTAGGGTTTCTAGGGACCTGGACCTAGAGTCCTCGCACTTTCAAGGGCTTTAACAGCTGAACCATCTCCCCAGCACTTCAAACCATTTTTAATGACGCTAATAAGACAAATACACGCCTGAAGACAAAATAGAATCACCTACATAGAGAAGATTGAACAAGTGAAAAGCCTGCCTGCTCATCCCCGCCACATTATTTTCTAGCAAGGGGGAAAATGCTTTTTCCAAAGCATTCGGGCAACCCCGGGGCCCACTCAGCACCAGGTGCAGTGGAGCGTGGGACTGCCCCAAGTTCCCTGACTAGGAAGACAGAAGGCTGCAAAAGGGCTGGAGGCTTTCTCTTGTCTAACCCTGGGCTCGGCAGTGCTCCCCAGTGCTCCCCAGCCCTTCCTGCAGGGCTTTGAGGCACCATGGGAACCAGTGGAAGCTGTGGATGACAGGATCGTGTCTTTCAAATGTTCAACACAGAATCCTTAGAACAGCTCTAGGGCAGGCGGCTTGGACCAGGAGCCAAGCTGCCAGGACTGGTGTGTGTCCTGGGTCTGCCATCTTCCACATGGGAAGTGGAGGGTCTCAAGCCAAGGCTAACCTAACCAAGGCTCACCCAACCAATGGGGATTATTAAAAAAAACCTATTGAGTAAGCCTGTGTGTGTGTGTGTGTGCGCTCACGTGCACCAGCAATGGAACTTGTGCTCAACAAGCATCAACTGCCATAGAGAGGGAGACAAGTGATCAAGAGAAGTGGAGGGGCCCGTGCTCTGCTGTGGGATATTGGAGTGATGAAGAAAAGGGCCACCAAGAGTCTCTAAAGCCCAACGGAGCTGCTTGGAAGTGATACAAAGCAATCCAGAGCTCTGCATGGTCAAACAGGGACAGGGAAATGCTGGCCCAGGGGACAGTGTCAGGAAGGACAGGTGGTCTGAAGGAATGGCCTGAATATAGAGCAAGCAAGAGCTGCCCCCCAGGTCACCATCCCAAGATATGAGTGGCTCAAAAGTGGGGGTAATGTTGACATTTGTGATTTCCCACAAGGCACACCAAGAATATTCTTTATTCTGACAGCAGAAAAGGGACTCTGAAGTTTTGTCCCTTGTAATGGAGAGTGACGTTCTCAAGGTGGCATCTGTGGTGGCAAGGGAGTGGCATCCTTCGAAGCCACAACAAGTTCTGCTCTGAAATAGAAACCCTGGGTGCAGGTGTCCCCCATCTGCTGGCTCCTCTGTGCCTGAGGTGAGAATCCTCTCAGGAGAGTAAGCCTCCTGTAAATCAACCCAGGGCTGACAGCCCTTGGCAGCAAGGAGGAGGAAGAATTTGACAAGACTCTGGCGTTTCCTGTTTCCCATCTGAAACCACCCACATCCTTTGTAATATCCACGCCCATCCAACCATCCCACCAACTTTGCTGGACCTGCGCTGATCTGCCTTTTCACGGTGTGCTAGGATGAGAACTCAGGTGCGGTATGCTTTCCCATCGGACTGTCTTTGAACCACCAGCCCACCACTAATGACACAGAAACTTATCGTTAATTATGAAAGCTTAGACTTGTTCTTGACTAGCTCTTAAAACTCCAATTAAGCCTTTGATCCCAGCACTCAGGAGGCAGAGGCAGGCGAATCTCTGTGAGTTGGAGGCCAGCCTGGTCTACAGAGTGAGATCCAGGACAGGCACCAAAACTACACAGAGAAACCCTGTCTCAACAAAACAAAAAACAAAAAAAACCACAAAAACACCTCAAATTAACCTGTTTCTATTAATCTACATCTTGCCGTGTGGCTTTTGCCTCTCCCATGTCTGGCTTGTTCTGGGTCTCGCTGGCGCTGGCATTTCCCGTGCACCTAAGTTCATCTCTGGTTCCTCTCTCCCCCCAGAAGTCCCACCTATTCTTTCCAGCCTAGCTGTTGGTCATTCAGCTCTTTATTAAACCAATCAGAGGGCATCTTGGCAAAGATACATCTTCTCAGTGTACAAAAAGATTATCCCACAATGCTGAGGTGTGCCACAGTTGGAGGGTCTGTGGTACAGCACATGCGCATGCGTGCGCGTACACACACACACACACACACACACACACACACACACACACACGGTCAGCCTATATCCCCAAAGTTAGCTGCCACCAGAGTGAAGAGTCTAGTGAGCAGGTATTTCTGGAAAAACTAGTCACCAACATCCCAGAAAAACAGAATGGTTTGGTAGGGAGGCACCACCAGACTTCAGACTCTGCAGTCTTCCAAACATGCATGTGGTCCACCCACTACAAACTGGTTCTGGTATCCTAGGATACCAAAATACACAATGCTCACATTCTTTATATAAGGTGGCATGGTCCTTGCATAGAACCTGTCACATCTCCCCCTACACTTTAGAGATGTATTTGCATGTGAGTGAGTATGCCTCATGGGTGTGGATGCTCACTGAGGCCAGCAGATCCTTTGGAGCTGGAGTTAGAAGCAATCGTTGAGCCATCTGATATGGGTGCTGGGAACCAAACGCTGGTCCCCTGGAAGACCAGAAAGTGCTCTTAACTGTTAAGCCATCTCATCAACCCTGCCATATACTCTCAACCACCTTCAGGTTACTTTAGAGTACCTAGAACAATGTAAACACCATGAAAATCATTGTTATATTGTGTTGTTTAGAGTCTGGTGACAAGAAAAGCCAGTACCTGTTCAGTGTGGATGTAATTTCCTCCCCCACATGTTTTTATTCTACAGTTGGTTTAAGGTAAGAATGGGAACCCACACATAGGAAGACTGTACAGGTGCTGGGATTCCACAAGAGAAAGAAACGTCCTCTCCTGACACCATCTGATACCACAGTTGTGAGTGTGCGTGTGCATGTGCGTACACTGCTGAGAATGGAATCCTGGACCACCCACGTGTTAAGCAAACCCTCAACCACTGAGCTAACTGGTTTACCTGAAAAATTTTCAAGATTTTAGTATGTGTGTGTGTGTATGTCTCTGTGTATGTGCACATATGAGTGAGTGGGTGCCTGCAGAAGCCAGAGGAGGGCATTGGATCCACAGGGAGCTGAGAGCCATCTGACGGGGGGGGGGGGGGGGGGGGGCGCTGAGAAGCGAACCTGGGTCCTCTGCAAGAGCAGCAAGTGCTCTTAATCTACCTGAAATGTTTTGTGTGTATGGTACATTGCTGCGCCCTCCTCTCTCCCACGTCCACACATCTCACAGACACAGACTAACACTTCACCGTGGATGGCGAGAAGCTCGGAGTGAGAGATGCCGAGTGAGTGAGTGTATCCAAAGGTTAGGAGCAGGACTAACCTCAGGGGTGTCTATTCTTCTCACATAATAACAGATACATATTGTAGGATGTTTAATTAAAAACAACAACAGGAGAATTTTAAGAATGGCAGTCTGGCCATTTGAGAATTACCACTAAATCTTAAAGTCCTGGCTATTTTTTAGTATCTACAATTACAGCTGTTCAGCAGGCACCTCTGGAGGGGCCGTAGGTTCCTGTGTCCCAGAAGAACTTTGGAACACATGGATAACAGCAAGCACACTGAACAGATTTGTTGAGCAGGAATACATTCCCAAAGGAGGAAGTCAGGGGGACAAAGAATTGGGTAGAAGCGTAGGTGTGCATTTCTCTGCTGGCTAAGAATGTTGAACACCTTTAAAAACAGTTGTTGCTTTTTGTATCTCTTCTTTTAAAAACTGCCTGTCAGTTCATTTGGCCCATTTATTGACTGGCAATCTTGTTGTCTAAATTTTGAAAATCTTTACATAGTCTGGATAGTAGCCTAACGTTCTCTCTCATTTGTATTAAATGTGTGTGTTTAGGTGGGAGGAAGTGGGGTTGGAAGCTGGGAAACTGAGTCCATGAAATGGAAACTCTAGGCTGTAAGGGAGGGGGAGTATGGAGACAACAGATGTCTAGAAGGAATATCGACTGCAGGGTCTTTTTCCTGCCATGTGGAGGTAGCCACGGCTGCACTGAATGAGCTGGAAATGGCTGGTATTCTCCAAGGACGGCATTCTAGAACACCTGGAAACATTATATTTATATGCGACATTTTAATATAAAAGTGCCACCTCCTCTGCTACAGTTTGATTAGTGAGCCCTTTGCTTTAACAATAGCATATGAGTGTGGGTTTTTTGCACACAAAGAGACAATTTTAAGGGTCATTTTCAAACTATTGCTGTAGCTGCACCAAATTCTTGAACCCGTGAAGGTGCTGGGGCATCCCTGAAAAAGAGAGTAAACTGCAGAGTGGAGGGAGATGGTGAGTGCTCATCCTCTAGCTACCCCAGGACAGCTCTGCTGTGTGCCAGGAGCACATGGAAGACTGATATGAAGGAGAGGCTCCTCTAGGGGGCATAATTTGAAACCGCATGATTCTTTAATGCTGTCTAGTGTTTCATCCTGTCTATAAGTGATAATTTATTGATAACCAAGTCCCTGGTTTGGACATTTGGGCTGTCTATGGGTCAGGAGTGGTGTTCAGCTACAAATATCAAGTTCCTAAGAGACGGAGACGTAAATAAATGAAAGTTTTTCCTTCTCTGATATGAGGAAATGCGTGGAAGGACGCAGTGCTGACATTGGAGTCAAAGAGACGCTGCCCCGAGTCTCCCCTAAAGTGTTTTCCTGTGTGGTCTCCCTGTTTGCTTTTGTGGGCATCCCTTTGCCCAGTCCCAACTGCCAAGAATCCAGAAAACACGTTTAGCCAAAGCTTCATCCCCTCCTGCTGCAAATCCAAGGGTCTGTGAGTAAAAGGGGAAAGATTTGAAAGTGC